AGACCAGCCCCTTGGCCTGTTCTCACAGGCCTGTGTTGTATTCGGGGTAGGCCAGTCCAGGCCGGTACCTCTGTCGGTACCAGCCAGTCCAGTCCAGTCCCGTCAGTCCGCTGGGGTATACCCCAGCCATTGTCTGTTTTCAGCCATTCCTCACTTGCACATTTTTGGAGTACGTGCGTTGGAGTCTGGCGTGGGGAGCTGCGTTGTGCCATCTCGCTCCCCCTTCKTCCTCCATCTCCATCTGTCTCTAGCGGAGCACCACACCTGGTGGGTCCGCTACAGTGTGTGTGTGTGTGTGTGTGTGTGTGTGTGTGTGTGATATATATATATATATATAGAGAGAGAGAGAGAGAGAGAGAGAGAGAGAGAGAGAGAGAGAGAGAGAGAGAGAGTATGGCTAGAGGGAGACGGGTGGAAAGGGTCATGCAAAGGTTTGGAAAGGGGGTAAGACAGAGTTTTACTGATCGAGAGGGATAGAGTGATTGTCTGGCGGAGATGGACATGGAGAGGGAACGGGAGAGTGGTGAGAATGAGGAGAAGAGATGTGAGAAAAAAGAGAGGGAGAGTGGTGCCGAGGACGCACGCAGTCTGGCTCCAGTCGATGAACCGTGCCGGTCAGACTCAACTGACAACGAACACCACCAGCTCCTCAAGCTCCAGTGTGATGGTTCTAACAGCATTGACAGTCCATCTGGCGACTTGAAGCGATTAACAAGCCATAGCCATGGCCATGGCGATGATCATCATGGCATTGACGGTAACGGCCATGTCAAGAAGCTGAGTTGGATAGGAAGGATTTGCGAGTTCCGGACGAGGGCCGTCTTCGTGTACGAGAGCTTGTTTATTCTGTCGGCCCTGGCAGTGTACAAATTTTGCACAAGGGATACGGAGTTGTCCTGGTGGCGGGGTGTGTACACGTCAGCCGCCGTCCCGTCCCGGCGGCCGCCGCCGATCGTTGTCCCCTGCGACGTTGATTGGCTAGCGTTCCGCCTGCACTATCCTAATTCCGATCCCGACTACACGTGGAATCACACGACTGGCCTTCCGTCCGCATGCTCTGCTGAGAGCAGCGCACGCAATGACGAGGATGATCGTCCGTCGGGGTCCCGATTCTTCCTAAGCAAGTTCTTCCGCAGAGCAGCGGGCCAGTCGGCGCAAGGTCGCGATGGCGACGTGGGCGCGCAGAGCGGCAGCGGAGATAGCGAACACGTGGAGAGCGGCTCCGTCCAGCCGCTGCAGCAGCAGCAGCAGCAACCGGCGCAGCAGCCGGGGAAGGAAGGGGAGGGGGAGGTGGTTCAGACTGTCCAGGTCCCTCCCGTTGACAGCTTTTTGATCAGTAGGGAGCTCCTCTTGAGAGTGGCTGGTAATGATAGCATCATCGTTATGACCCTAGGGAACTCGGGTTGGAAGGACTTCATCTTCAATTGGGTGATCTCTGCCAACAGGGTGGGTATGGGTAATTACGTGGTCGTGGCGCTGGACGAGCCTCTGCTGAGGACACTTGACGAGCACGGGATACCTGCAGCCAAGTCGAGACTGGGGTTTGTCGACCCGGGCGCGGCTGCATGGGGATCGATAGAGTTCAAGGCCATGCAGAAGATCAAGCCAGCGTCGATCGTCGACGTGTTGGAAGCCGGATTCGATGTCCTGGTGGCCGATGCGGACCTGGTATGGTTCAGAAACCCCCTCCCCTACTTCCTCTCCCATCCGGAGCCCGACATTCTGTGCTCCACCGACTGCCCCGTTTCGTTGATTGACGACGCGTTCTTGCGCGCTGGAGGAGTGCGGGAGACGGGCAGGCTGGACGCCATTGATCCTGGCCCTTGGCCGCCGTGCGATGGGAAGATGTTCCACTTCAACGTGGGGCTCATGTTCGTCCGGCGACAGGAACCGTCCCTCCGGCTGTTCCGTGATTGGGCCTGGAGACTGTCTCGCGCCGACAAGCAGACGTGGGATCAGCAGCTATTCAACGACATGGTGAAAGCCGTTCTCCCATCTGCTACCTCCAAAGTAGTCATCCCCTCAGGCATCTACTACCGTCTTTTCGACGGCGTGCTACTGCTTGGTGCACTGCCTCAGGGTCTCTTCGTCAACGGCTTATCCTTCTTCTACAGCGGGCTGCCTGTCCCTTTGCCGATCCCAGCCTCAGCTTCCAGCTCCGGCGGAGAACCTGGTCCAGATGGACGACTATCCTCATCCTCAGGGTCGGAATCAGGACCAGATGCAGGCTCAGCATCCGGTCAGGATTCCGTTACAGCAACTGCAGCACGCGGAGCAGCAGTCGTAGTTGGCCCCGGCAACAGCCAAGACGAGGCCGTTAGCCACCGTTTGCCCACGCCGTTTATGATGCATACGACGTTCATAGAAGGCGGACACAGCGCTAAGCGGATGCGGCTACGGGACTGCGCTCTCTGGGACGTGGACCCTCCTTCATATCTGTTTCCACCGGAGAGGGGGTTCTTGCACTACCAACAGGTGATTCCAGAGCAATGGCTGGACGAAGCAGCGCGCGATCCGGATAAAAACCTCAGTTTGCGCAGACTGCAGTTGGGCTGGCTGCGCAACGCTCTCGCCATCGCCTTCGTGCTGGACAGGATCCTCATCATGCCCACTCTGCTCGGCGACTGGCCGTGTCCTTGGGGGGTAGACAGCAGGAAGGGACAATTGGAGGGGGTTCGACCTCGGGGCTGGAGTGATTACGTGTTAGACATAGGGGCAATGGAAGAAAATGGAGATGGAGAGTTGATTCGAGGGAGTGATTTCTTGAGCAATCGCTGGATTGGCCAAGATATATGGCGATCTAGGCTGAACGTTGGCGTCCTGGGAGGAGAAGGACCGCAACCACTTTCTCTTCCTCCGACGCATCGCAGTCGCAGACGACGGCGCAGGAGGCGACGGAGACGCAGAAAAGGAAGGCCGGACAAGAGGTGGCGGCGTCTTTCCCTCATGGAAGAGACGGTGGAGGAGGAGGAGGAGGAGGATATGCAGGAGGAGGAGAAGGAGAAAGAGGAGGAAAGGGGGGCTGAAAAGGAAGGTAAGAAGGTCATGGACAATGACCGTGACGGTACAGGCGTAGCCATTTCAAGGCCGTTTGATAGAAAGCTTCTGGACGTCAAGGAGACGACGAATCTCGACGGTGAACTGTCTGACGACTCCCTAAACTGTGTGAATGGGACTCTCTTTCCGTCGCAGGTTGCAGTGGAGAAGGCAGCTCGTGTAAAGATTGCACGTGGCATAACGGACGTGCAGGTGGCGGCTTGTTTTGGACCGTTGGCTCATGTCAAACTGCTAGACTTCTCGACGATGGCTGAAGTGTTTGGAGGATTCGTCAAATTTGCAGACAAGAACAGATTCGTGAATACGTGGGGAAAATATGCGAAGAAATTCCCAGACGATGACGTCGGACTGCTCGATCTGTTGGTTGTTTAGAGAAATGGGAGGCCACATGTCGCACACACCCAACGCTCTACAGTTGCTTTTTTTTTTCTTTCAGAAAAGAAAAAAAAACACTCCAATTTTATAGTTTAGTTCCTGTGTTGCACTACAAACTGTAAATGGTACACGCCACCTACGTAGACGTTCCCAGACGATGACAAGGGAAGACTACGGGAGGTGACGTATGACAGGGATTGATGACGTAGATGATGCCACGTGGCGTGCAGGAACGTGTCATCCCGCCACGTGTCACATCCTCAACGGCCCAAAGTATATCAGTTCGAATCGAAGGAGATGAACACTTTAAGGGAGCAAAATGTGCATGTGAGGGTAGGCCAAGTTCTTCCCCAGACGATGGCTGGTAGGGAAAGCTTGGCGAGTCTAGATGTGGTTAGGGATCAGGATTGGTTAGGTAGATGAAACGTGTAGCATTTGTGGTGCGCGACGTGTCGCACACCCGATGCTCGTCACACACCCATTGCTCGTCACACAGTCAATGCTCGTCACACACCCAATGTCCCACCGTATATCAGATCGCGGGAGATGAAGGCTTTACGCGTGTTTGCTGTGTATGATCGTGCACCAAGACGTTCGCAGACGTCGCTTTCGCTTGCAGAATAGCCTTGCCTAGGTAGATGACACGTGTAATGCTTCGGGTACGCCATGTGGCACACACCCAATGCTCGTCACACACTCAATGCTCGTCGCCCACCCAATGCCGCACTGTATATCAGCCCGCAGGAGATGCACACTGTCGCGTGTTAGTTGTGTATGATGCACCAAGACGTTCGCAGACGTCACTTTCGCTTTCAAAATGGCTTGATTAGGTAGATATGACACTTGTAAATACGTGATACTTGGGGCAGGCCACGTGACACACACCCAATGCTCGTCACTTGTAAATACGTGATACTTGGGGCAGGCCACGTGACACACACCCAATGCTCGTCACACACTCGGTGCTCGCCACACACCCAATGCCGCACCGTATACCAGGTCACAGGTGCTCCAAGACGTTCGCAAACGTCACTTTTGCTAGCAAAATGGCTTGATCAGGTAGATGACACGTGCAGTACTTCCATTACCTCACGTGACACAAACCCAATGCTCGTCACACACCCAATGCCCCACTGTATATCAGGTCACACGAGATGGCCACTTTCGCGTGTTAACTGTGTACGTCGCACCTAGACGTTCCCGAACGTCGCTTTCTCTTGCAACATGGTAAGATGGGAAAGCTTGGCGAGCTTCGGATATGATAGGGGGCTGATTAGGTAGATGACGCGTGTGTTACTCGTGTGGAGAACCACGTGTCACGCACCCGATGATCCACTGTTACTACGTCACACGTGTCACGCACACACGTGTCACGCACCCGGAGGTCCACTGTTTACTAGGTCACACGTGGCACCGTTGAAAAACAGCCTCGTGTGGAGCACCACGTGCCTACGTGTACCAACTGGTCACAGGAGATTGAACACCAGTTGGTACACGTAGGCACCAATGAAAAACAGACACGTGGTTGAATCCGGATGAAGCCAGATGAACAGAATACAATAATTCTGAATTACCTGGGGCTGGTCTGTTAAAAAAGATAGGAAAAAAGGGGGGAATGCAGCCCAAACAAAGGGTGGGAGACAATGGAGAAACGCCGAAGCGTACGAAAAGGACTGGTTGAAGGGGGTGGGGGAGGTGTTTGCACGGCATTGAAAGGGAAGAATGCAGTGCTGGAAAGGCCATGAGCAGGTAGAGGGGGCGAAAAGTGAGCCTGCTGCCTGCATGCACCCTTTATGAGCCATGTCTGAGTGTTAATGTTCGCAAACATGTGTAGCCTGAAGGCACAATCGCAGTGATGACAGGAAACGACAAGTTCTAAACACTGTAGGCTTGAACGCCAGCGGCACAAAAACGAGTGCCACGAAAGCAACCTGGTATTAGTCCGAGTAGCACGTGAAGAAGCATGGCAGCAGCTCTGGACAGGAGGGTCGTCATCGTGACGGCTCATGCCTGTGGTGCAGGTCCTATTTCCAGCTGCATTTGCCCGTCACTACTGCTCCGAGCAGTTTACTAGATCGTTACCTGATCCTTTCAATCACACAGAGAGAGAGAGAGAGAGAGAGAGAGAGAGAGAGAGAGAGAGAGAGAGAGAGAGAGAGAGAGAGAGAGTTGTTCTTCTGGTTTGTTCCTGCAATCTGTTGCAGACAGTCTGTGTGACGGACCCACCCGGATGGCGGTCCCATCAGTGTCAAGACAAAGGGTGAGGATGAGGGAGGTGGCCATGGAGCTGGAAGCAGTGCCGTGCCCCGTTCGCCGTTCACCGGGTCTGTGGTCGTGATCTGTCCTTTTTTTTTTTTTTTGTTGGGCTGTGTTTTTTTTTTTTTTTTTTATGGTGGGGGTGCCACACAATTAGTATTTTTCTGGCTTTTTTTTTTTTTTTTTTTTTTTTTTTTTTTTTTTTGGCTGGGCTACCAGCCGGTCCACCCGGAAAAAAAAAATCCAAAAAATCTGAATAAAAAAATGTTATGCAGAAAAATAAACTGAACAACCTCTGCCTCAGGGTCACATCGAGATCCTTCTTGGTTTTATGAAATGATGATGAGTGGTGTCTCACATCCCTATCGTATGTGAGAGGCGGGCCTCCCCAAGACTTGTTACGACCAGTCGGCCGCCAAAGCCTTAAAAAAAATAAATAAAAAATAAATATATGACACATCCCATAAACAAAGTAAATGACACATCCCATTTTTAATGTAATTTTCCCCGTTGTTGGGGTATTTTGTTTTGTTGTGGTAATCTTGTCTGCTGCATCCCGGTTGGTTTTGTCCCAACCCGTTATTCGGTCTATTCAGTCAGCAGGTAGCGGTGCTTCATGTGGGACCAGTCATCCGGTTTTTTTTTTTTTTTTTNGGGGGTTATAGGAGGGTAACCCCCCATAATTTTTTTTATATTTTTTTTCGAATAATATTTTCTTTAAATTAAAAACGAAAAAGAAAAACTGCAACCAGCCAAAATAGCATTTTTGTTTGTTATTTTGTAGGTTATTTCGTTTTTTTTTTTTTTTTTTTATGTCATCACCCTGTGGGGCTTGAGGCTACTGTAGCTGGGTGGGCGCTCCCCCCCCCAAAAAAAAAGAAAACACCACTCTTTCGTGGTCTGCCCGTTCACAGTGAAAGGCCGTTCACAGGCGCAAGGCCAAATGACCAGCCATTCACGTTCACGGTGCTGGCTGGAAGGGACATCGCAGCAGCTCCGACGCAGACTCAACACGCACGGACTCCAAGCTGTGCAAATGAAGAATGAATGAAAATACAGACTGCAGCTGGGTATACCCCACCGTGAAAGGCCGTTCACAGGCGCAGGGCCAAATGACCAGCCATTCACGTCGGTGACCGTGCTGGCTGGAAGGGACATTGCAGCAGCTCCAAATGACCAGCCATTCACGTCGGTGACGGTGCTGGCTGGAAGGGACATTGCAGCAGCTCCGACGCAGACTCAACACGCACGGACTCCAAGCTGTGCAAATGAAGAATGAATGAAAATACAGACTGCAGCTGGGTATACCCCCAGTGGACTGACTGGACTGGACTGGACGACGGTGCTGCTACCGGACAGGACTGCACTGAATACTCACATGGCCTGTGGGGTCAGGCCAATGGCCTGGTCCCACAGGCAGAACAGGCAAATAGCCAAATAGCCCTGGCTGTAGGCTAGGGCAGATAGAGGCCCTCTGCACTTTGGAATACGCTGTTGTTTGAGAAGGTGAGGTGTTGCAGCACTGCTGCTGCATGGCCATTGCACTACTCGTCTGCTGGGAATCTAATGCTGCCGCTGCTTTTCCCTCTTTCGCTGAAGCTGTGCGGTCATGTGTCTATACAATGTTCAGAAGGTTGAGGGTCCCTCAGTCCAGGGGAACCGGGTGCACTAAATTATGCAGAGCCCCAATGTTTACTTCCGAGACCCCTTCCCTCCTCTGGCCTTGCCAATGTTTGAGTATCTTTTCTACATACATTAGATTCATTAGAACCAGCAGGAACCAGCAGAAAACCACAACAACTTCCAGTCCTGGCGCATCTGTCCCTAATTTTATGGCCATTTTCCCGTGAGAAGCAGTGCGGCCCTTCCTGGTGCCCCCGGGGGAGGTGTTGATGTCTCCCTCCTCTGATCTTTTCTGTTGACTACTGTCTTCACCCAAATAGAACGCACAATCATTATAGCAGTATTTAAGCTCACTTTCAGTCCAGATGCAGCGATAATGACTGGGTGTTCTATTCGGGTGAAGGCGGTGGCCCCGGTTTCAAGAGTCTGTGTTTATGGGACGCTGGACCCGGTTTTCAGAAGGTGCAGCTCCCCATCAACCCACAACAAGGGATACTAGGGGGGGATGCTCTTATTAGCCCTTGCGGGGCTCTCGTGGGTTTCAACAAGGAAAGCCAAAAAATGAAAAACTTTCGTGCAAACCATGAGAGACTCAGACAGAGACACACACACACACACACACACACACACACACACACACACACACACACACAGAGAGAGAGAGAGAGAGAGAGAGAGAGAGAGAGAG